TGTGTTACTTCTGAATTTGGCTCAGTTTTCGTGGAGATAATAAAAATTCAATTTGATTTCAAATTTTGATGTAGGTGCTCCCAAGACGCCCATTGTGATTACTCAATAAACTCATTTCAAATTTTGGGACTTTCAGTCACCCATGGAATTTTATACCAAGGAATCATAAAAAAACAATACACATCCAACTTCAACATCCTGTACCCCAAAAATGAGGCAAGTTAGGATACTTGTTGATGTGAACTTTATTTCCTAAAATATCAGGAGGATTCACCCTGTTGCACTTATTCACTACCACCCTGATGTGTACACATTATAAAACAAATTCAACACTGGATGTATTTTATTTATAATGATCATGAAGGGCAATGGAATATGTTTTCAGATCAATATTGAAATATTGCTTTTTCAAAACTAAAAAAATTCAATCATGAGAACTAATAATGAGGAAACTTTAAAATGGGAATAAATTACTAAAATCTCCAAAAGTAAGGCATCTTTTTTCAATCTCTTTTTTCCAATGGCATCATTGGAAAAATGTCTCTCACACACAAATCCACTTGGGGGTAAGTTGACTGATGTGGCATCAGCCCACAATTGTAGTTCATCTTTGTCCTGGAATTATAATTCAACCTCTACTTTTAAATAAAATCTTATGGAGTTATTAGGGGAGCAGGGCATGAAACTGAAGTGCTTAAGCAGTACATATTTACCAGAGCTTGTTTGTCTAAGGAACAGCAAAGCTTTGGAATTCTTTGCCAAATGAAGTATTCCAAAGAACATAAAATATATAATCTCTAGTTGCACTTTGTGCACCCCAAAAGATAGACATATATAATATATACACATTTAAGCAAGGCAGGAAGGGGAAGGGTATGCCCCTAATCAAGTGAGTAACAAATGCAAAGCTTTTTTCTTCTGGATAAATCATCAAGATTCATGCCCTGCCCACAGTTTGAGGAATGGGTATTGGAAAAGGTGCCAAGAAAATTCATTTTATTGAATTCATTCTCATATATTGGTAATGGATTCGTCCACAACACAACTAATGTCCTGTATCAATAATAATAACTTTTGTTAACTGGTGTATTTCCACCTATTGAATTCACCTCTCATTTTATTCTCAAGTGGATTGTTTTCATGCATGATATTGATAGGTAGCTATTCTTCTAGGAAAATGATCAAGTTCTTCATGTAATGATGAGTAAATATATTGAAATATTAATTCCTACTCACTTTTGGTACAGAAGACATTCGTATTTCCGGATTTTTATGTGATCCGCACACATTACAGCAACGCCAGTCCATGATAAAAAGTACAAAACACTCACTCCACAACACAATACAAATAATACAATACTTACCTAACTACCTATCCTATATGAACGTCCCCAATGATTATAAGAAAACACTTCCAATAAATATATCCGATTTAAACGATGATTATATTTCAATAATTTGAAATTTATCAAGATTAACGGAGCTCAAAAGACCATCTCATGAAGAAGGACTTGACACGTGAGACGTGACAATCTTGACAGATGTCGAGTCAAAATGTCATGAAATCATATTTTTTATTTACCTTCTGCCACAATCAGTTTCACCAACCTTGATCGTTCATTCTTTTCACAAGGTTGGTAGAACTGATTATAATTTGTATAGGAAGGTTGCCTCGATCGATAGTGCGGCAAGGGGGGAAACGGTCACTCGTGACGTCACAGGCAGTAAGAACAAGTTGTCAACCTTGAAGCGACATGTCATGAAATGTTTACCAAATAGAGTATACAAACATGATACAAACTTTTTGGTCTGCTCAGCATATTTATATTAATTTATAGTATATAATTATAAGTAAGTACCATTACAAAATATGGATAATTACATATACTTCTGTATAATACCTTCAATCTTCGAAATGAGAAGGCAATTTTGGATGGATCAGTAGTACAGAGAGGAATACCTATCTGAAATTTTGTTTCAGGGGCTATTTACCAGGTCGTGGTACCAGGTATGTGTGTTTTGGGGTATGGAGCATAATTATGGAGCTAGTGATTACTTATGCATTGATTATGATTAACCTACTCATCCTATGAATATCCTGCAAATCAGATAATGTGAACAAGAAACTACAGAAAATGTAAGAATAATCAACTGATGATCCAGAAGTAGTAGCAGTGGACCAATATTCGTACACAAAAGATCACTTCTTTTATCAATATAACTCTGTATTCTGAAAAATTAACAAACTTTCCTAGATACCTATAGAAAATACAAGAGGAAATAGTATTTCATTGTTTAATTATATTGTAGTCAAAAACAGAGCAATTGATCGAAGTATTTGAGCATAAAAAAATAACAAAATATGATTCTGAACGAAATTAATGAAAAATAACACTACTATTATAAGTGAACCAATAATAAAGGATAGTTCAAGGAATCTCTCAAATAAACATAGCTCCTCTTCGTTGGGTAACGTACTATATCTTGCTCAAATATCTTAACTTGAAAACACGTGTGTGATATCTTCTGATGTCCATTTTACCCGTTCAGCAAGAATCTCAAAATTCACAACTGGTCTGGTTCTGATCATTTTTCCAAACTTCCATACTTATATGGTGTTTCTCTTGTTGTATTTGGTATTATTGGTGGGATTCCTACCTTGAGTTTTCTTCTCTTTGGTGTGTGATTTAGCAATTCTGCTTGTGCCGTTCAAAATCCTCGGCATCGAAATGGGCAGAACATATTCACCAAGTTTTGGTATTAAATGAATTAAAATTACTTCCACAAAATTGAATCCATTTCTCACGAATAGACTCATCTTATGGAAATTAATGGAAACACAAACTAAATTGACTAGTCTCATTACACTTGTACGAATTTTAACAAGAAGTGACCGAACAAATTATCATTTTTACATTTTTAAGTTCAAAATGGTTCAAATATTCGAAAATACTGACAACTGTCAACTCAATACATGCGCCGGCCAATCGCCGGCGTACATATCATACACGAAGTGTACGAGAGTGCTACACTTTTCGTGCAAAAGAAAGGGCCTATTACGTCATGAGTTACTCAAGGTTACTCGCGGGGTGCGATCGAGGCAACCTTCCTCTACAAAATAGTCATCAGTTCTACCAACCTTGTCTTTTCACGCCATACACGCCATCTAACAATGAACATAAGAACCCCACGTTCCGAACTCGCATTCAATTGTTCATAATAATATCGAGAGCTAGTCTGACGAAACAATTGAAAAGTGGGCACACCATAGAAATTATAAACATCTCAATTATTCAGTTCAACCTTGTTCAACCTATTTGTGTGAATCTTGTTTTTCCAATTTGAAGTTTATCAAGAACAAATATCGCAATCGACTTACGCATATAAATTTCATTCGAATGGCTGCATCAAATTATGCTGCATACATTAAGAAAATTATCGATGAGTCTGAGTGTCAGCCTTCTCATTGAACGTGCTTTTTTATTTTTCAATGTTTATGTTCATGATAGTTAAATATTACGTGACATGCCGTTGTGGCTGGAGAAAATTTTGTGTTTATTTTTCAAACACCTTCGTTTGGTAGGTAGGAATGTAGCTATGAACAAGTACGTACTAGTAATATTAGTTATTTTGTTATTAGTTTATTATTATTATCTATGTATTATGTAAGTTGAAGTTCAAATCCAGGAAATCTTATTTTTAAAAAGATTTATTTCGGAAAAGAACTTAACAAAAATCGAAATTAGCTACCGAGTATTTTCACAACTGAATCAAGGATATATTGGGAAGAGCTTGATACTAAAATGAAAAATATTGTTTTCCTGAATGTGTTAAATGCGGATAATGGTGTCTATTATAAGTCAAATAATAAACCTCATTTAATTTATTAACAAAATTAAAATATATTCTGGTACAAAACTGATAATATGAGATGAAAAAAAGTGTTATTTCTTTGAAAATCTGATATTTCAATGTTGACATCTGCCTATGCTTGCCTGAAACAGAAGAAAAAACATATTTCAGGAACAAAGAACATAATATTGACGAATATCAGGAATGAACCATACTTTCCATGGAAAATTTGGTGAACTTGGTTCAACATCCATCAAGAGGAATTCCAAACAAATGTCTCCTCAAAACCTCAGAAATAATTAGGAATAGATCTCACCTATTTGGATGAAACAGATTTCTTTGCCAGTTTCTTTATTCTGTCACCTGCAAGACAAATCCAATTTCTCATTGACATTTCTATAGAAGCTTTTGTCACAGAATCCTTCAATAGATGATTTTTTTTTATACCATCTGAAACAATATGATTTAGGTACTTAGATGTGATATATCCTATGATCATTGAATACCTTTCAGTCCATGTGCCACTTTCAGAACACCAAAAATCTTCTTTTGTTTTTGGCCAAACCAGGAATTTAATTGGATGACATCATCCGAGAAAACTCACTCCATTGATCTCCTGACAGCTTCAGGTGAAGTAGCTCCTCCTAGTTTACAGACAAACTGAACCTACAACATGAAAATAGATTTATGAGAAAGTGAATAACAGATGAAAATTTTAATATCTTACAAATGTTTTGTAGTTTGTGTCCTCATGTCCTCATTCGAAAATTCTTCAAAACTGTTGACGTCCGCATCATTTTGTAATGGGAAAGATTCTCTATGTTATTTTCATTTGAAATGTCCTCCTCCTTGTTTATTTTCTCCATTATTGACGCCACATCTGTAGATAATGTGTCTAATTTGTGATTGATTATCACCAACTGTCTCATTATTCGAGTATCTGAAATACTAAAAAAAATGAATGAAGAAATATATTATTGCTTTATCAGATTCAAATTTGTATAAGTGTTTTTTCATATCAGAAGAATATTAGTGCACCTTCAATTCAATCATCTAGAAAACTGTTCTAAAGCTCCATGTCAATACAAAAACATATCTGATATGTAACTCAAATTATCATTATATTAAACATTTGGTGAAATCGTTACCTCTATCATGAATTTGGGAACTTCTTATTGGAGAAGGTGAACCCAAATTTCTAGAAGTGGATGGTTTTGAAACTTCTTTTTTATTTATAATATCATGTCTGGACTTAACCATCACATCAGATGAATCAGATATCATACATATACTTTCACTACAAGCTGAAAAAAAAAATTAAGGGAAAATTAAGGGAAATCTGAAAAATTGATTAGTAAATATCATACATTGAATTATTTGGTCCAACAAGCTACACTATACTTTGGGAATATATTTAATAAGGCTCAGCCAACTTCATTTGCAAGTGAAATTTCCCTTCAAATCTCTCACCATTAGTAACAATTTCTTCCACTGATGTTGATTGTTGAATATTCCTGGACATTAATGGTGATACACTACACTGTTTCACCACTAATCAAACCGATTTATGGTGATCTTCTCACAATAATCTCAGAAGCATTGAAATCTTCCTCATCATCTAGAAGAGCTTAAAAAATATATAAATAATTCAATTATTATTATATTTGTATTACAATCAGTATATTTTCTTTTTACTCACATTTTTTGGGAACAGCAGGTGGAGTGGGGAGTCGTCTCTGTCGAGGAACATTGGAAATGTTAGTTCCATCATCATCACTACTGCTGAGTATTCTGCGTTTTTGAATTCTCTCAGAAATATCATTCTCAGATAATACATCTGGTTCATCCACCATTTTACTGAAAGCTTTCCTGGCATTAAGGAAGTTATCTGAACAAAAATATTATATCAAAATATCCACATTGTCTAATATTTCATAACATCATTGATTTGAAATGTATAATTTCATCTTACCATACATTTTTTTCATTGTTAGCAAATCTTGTATCGAAAATATTCCAGTTTGCCTCAGGATTCGAACAATTGGCAATCAATGAGTACAATTTCAAACCTTTGACAGCTGGCCAATATGTTAAATGCTCATCGTCATTTCTTTCCTATGAGCTACTTAACAGGAATAGTCTCTATGGTATTATCTTTCAAGAAAATCGCAACAGTCCACATTTTAATTTTTTCAAATTAGTGGACTCAACCGAGAGAAACAAAATCTCAAAACTAAAAGCAGAAAGAATATCTGAAAGAGGGTCCCAGTAATATAAATAATCCAACATCATCGATATACATATCACTTGTAGGTAAACCACACATAGGAATAATATGCAAAAGCACTGAAAAATGTCAATAATTAATAGGTTTCTGATGATGTAATAACATTAGAACAATTAAGAAAATGAATGAAAAAGTTAAGATTCATTTAGTACCTCCAATATACCCAAAAAACCCTGTACTGTTGAAATATTATTCTAATTCACAGTGCAGAAGAGGTACCACAACACTGGAATTTTTTTTTAAACTCAATTTGATATATTTGGCAGATATATCCTTTAATGGCCAACATTCAAGTTCATCGCTAATGTCTATAACTTCATATGTTCCTGTATAAGAAGATGGACAGGGATTGAGATAAAATTCCTTCTTATTGTTGTACTCATGTCCAATAACAATTAAATCATTATATTTTGCAGCGATATTCCTAACCAATTATATTCACGCCTTGTCCTCAATGATATAACTATGTAGTACCCCAATTTCCCCTAGAAAGTTACCACAATTTTTAAAGCTCACAGAAAGAATACCCCTATCTCCCCCACTGCTACATGGCACACCACAGCCACCGTTGTGTAGCCGCCTTCATTCCTTAATTTTGTGCTAGATAGTTATCCACGCTCACGTATTTGTTGAACATTTTTCAATCATTTTCGATGGGAAATAAAAGGAAACATATTTATTCGACAAGTGGAAGTGAAAGTAGTGAAGAAAAGTTGAAGACTCTTAAAAAGAAATTGAAAAAACTCGGAAAATTGCTAGAGAAAAGAGAGAAATCTCGGCGTCATGCGAGATCTGATAGATCCAGCTCGTCTGATATAGTTTTTCTATCAGAATCGGACGAGGAGAACGAACGTAAGTATTTGAATAGTTAATAGCTTTGTCATGTTTTAGAACAATAGAAAAGAGAAGGTGTGTTCATGTTCCTCGTATCCTATAGTTTAGGATGACCAGTAAATCTCGTATGAGTATGGTATCATCATGTATATGGTAATTTGAATTCAGGGAGAATTCTAGCGATTTATTAATCGTTTTGAAAACTATCCTGTATAGGACATCGATCCAGTAAATCTCGTATGAGTATGGTACTATCATGTATATGATAGTTACAAACGTTTCATAACCTCACTCGAGTCGGCAGCAGAAACATGGCACAGATCTTGGCGGGAACGCACGGAAAAATAAGCACCAGACGTTGCGCCAGACGAGAAAAAAGTAAGGTTGGAAAGTTCTTCTTTTTTGATGGCAACTTCTTATTTTTGGCTAAGGTGCCACGGGCTGTGGGTTATCTGGCCAATTATAAAGTGAGGTTGAGTACTTCATCTTCCTGTTTTTATTTTTTTCTTCCTCGGTCGAAGAGAAGGACTCAGACAGATCTTCTGTGATAATAATGTCCCTTGGTAAATCTGTGTGCGAGGAACAGAACACGTAACACGTCAATAAAACTAACCTAAGAAATCAATCAGTTGGATTTGCGGGTTTTATCTTAAGATAAACCTATTTTTTTCCAGATTATCCTGAAGAGGACAGGAAAATAGAATTAGAGGAAGCTGACCCACTCAAGATAGAGTTCGTGGAAGTTACCAGCTTGAAGGAAGGGGTTTTGACTGCTTTGGGGGAAGCAAGTGAAAATACAGATACCAATGAAATAGATCTTCACGAGAATCTAGTACCTCGTTGGGAAAAAATATTGAAAGATGGTTTGGATGAACCAACAAAGACCACTCTCTCTAGTAAATATCCAGGGGTTAAAAACTGCGCAGCTATTATTCCTCCGAAATTGAATCCTGAAGTGAAAAGGGCAATGCACGAAAGTGCTTTAAAACGAGATTCTCGGTTAACTGCACACCAAGGACAGTTGAGTAATGTTCTATGTGCTGTGGGTAAAGCACTAACTATGTTTTTGAATTTTGAAAAAACAAGAGGGGGGGGGGAAGACCCTGACCCATTGATATTAATCGAGGTGTTGAGTGATTCAGCACGATTGCTGGCAGATGTGTATCATGCTGATTCTGAGTCACGCAGGGATTTGGCTAGTATGTCATTGAATAGAGTGGGACAGTAGATGGATGGCTATTTGGCGAAGATCTGGCTGAAAGAATAAAGACAGCAAAACTGCTGGAGAGATCAGGGAATGAGTTGAAACCAAAAATTCAGAATAAGGAACAAGGTACCAGATATTTAAACTCCAAGAGTCCGCTCAGGACAAAGACATACCCGAGCAGACGTCAACATCACAATCGGCAAGGCTTCCAGAACAATTCATATCAAGCCGAAAAATATTTGCCCAGGAGAGCCCCTCCTCAGCGAACAGGGGTGTCTTCATCCAAGATGAAAGAGAGACCCAGAAGGAAGTATTAGATGTGGTGGTAAGTTCATATGCTGGGCGATTAAGCAAATTCCTGCACCAGTGGACAAAGATTCTTGTATACTATCTTGGATAAAAGGATGCAGTTTGGAATTCAATCATAAGCCTATACAAATTCCACCTCCTGTCCAAAAATTCACAAGTATAGAAGCACAAGTTATTGAAGTAGAAGTCCAACATCTGTTGAGAATGGGTGCAGTCACCAGATGTGAGCCTTGTGAAGGCCAATTCATTTCTACTATATTTTTGGTGAAAAAACCAAATGGGAAAAAGAGATTGATTTTAAATCTTAAAAATCTGAATAAGTTTATTTCTGCTGACCATTTGAAGATGGAAGATAAAAGTACTGCCATAAAATTGATGACACATGATTGTTTTCTTGCATCAATTGATCTTGAGGATGCCTATTTTTTAATCAAAGTTCATAAGGATTCTAGAAAATATCTTTTAGATTCAGGTTCAATGAAAAATATTTCGAATTTACCTGTATCCCATTTGGCTTATGCATAGCACCTTTTATTTTTACAAAATTGATGAAACCTGTAGTTGCATCTCTTAGGCAAACAGGCCTTATTTCTGTTATATATCTAGATGATTTTCTTTTGTTTGGAGAGAAATATGAAGAATGCTTGTTTAATATCACCAAGACAATTGAATTGGTTCAGGCTTTAGGTTTTATAGTGAATTTTGAAAAAAGCCAGTTAATTCCTTCACATGTCTGCAAGTTTTTGTGCTTCATTTTTGATTCCAATGCTATGTCCCTCACACTTCCTCATGATAAAAAGAAGCATCTATTGGAATGTATCAAGAGAATGCAGGTTTCTAAAATTTGTACAATACGAAATTTTGCACAGTTTGTTGGGAAAATAATTTCTATTTGTCCTGCTATAAGATATGGTTGGGCATACTCTAAAGGTTTCGAAAGAGCAAAATTCTTAGCTTTGAAAAATTGTCATGGAAACTATGACACAAAAATGTCAATACCTAAATCATTAACATCGGATTTTCAATGGTGGATAGATAACATTATATCTTCATCAAATCCTTTCCCAACAAACAATTTCTGCCTGGAATTTTTTTCTGATGCCTCCTTGTCAGGTTGGGGTGCGTTCTGTAATGGAAAACGAGCAAATGGTTATTGGAGTGATAATGAAAAAGCTTTCCATATTAACCATTTGGAATTACTGTCAGCCTATTTTGCTCTGAAGTGTTTTGCCCAAAAACTTGAGGATTGTGAAATTCTTTTGAGAATTGACAATATCACTGCCATAGCTTAAATAAACAGAATGGGAGGCATTCGGTTTAAACATTTAAACAAGCTATCCAAAGCAATATGGCAGTGGTGCGAGGTCAGGCGCATCCGGATCTTTGCTTCTTACATAAGATCTGAAGAAAATATAGAGGCAGATAATGAGTCTAGGAAACTTCAAATCGAAACTGAGTGGGAGTTGTCCGATGCGGCATTTGCTCAAATAACTGACAAATTTGGTTTTTCCCGATATAGACTTATTCGCAAGTAGAAACAATACTAAATGTGAATCCTTTATATCCTGGAAAAAAGATCCAGATGCGTTGGCCATCGACGCGTTCACAATAAACTGGCATGGTTAATTCTTCTACGCTTTCCCTCCATTTTCGGTCATTTTACCGGTTTTACAAAAAATAATGAGAGATGACGCCAAAGGAATCGTTGTGGTCCCTTTTTGGACAAATCATCCGTGGTTTCCAACTTACCAAAAACTTTTAGTATCAGATTTGATTTATTTTACTCCTGACAGAAAATTAATCATTATCTGTTGATAGGTGTCCACACCCACTCTGGCACCAGATTATCCTGGTTGCCGGAGTGTTGTCAAAGCCGCCTTCAAATTGAAAGGATTGTCAGATTCAATAACAGACATCATGCTGGCATCCTTATCAGCTGCTACTCTGAAGCAATATGATGTCGGTTTGAAGGCATGGTGGCAGTTTTGTAAATTTGAGGGGATTAACCAGTTCGAGAGTTCAGTGGATAATGTGTTGAAATTTTTAGATAGTCAGTTTCAAAAAGGGGCTTCTTATGGAACACTGAATTCTGCAAGGTCAGCGTTGTCTTTAATATTCACCCCACTCTTAGGCAATGACTTTCGTATAAAAAGGTTTTTCAGAGGAGTACAGCGTTTACGCCCATCGAAACCAAGGTACAACAGCATTTGGGATCCTACCACCGTCTTGAGTCACCTAAATGATCATTTTCCTAACGAAGACCTAATCCTGGAGGTACATACAAGGAAGTTGGCTACGTTGCTTGCTCTAATTACAGCCCATAGAGTACAAACATTAGCGGCTATTAGAGTTGAAAACATTGTAGAAGATCCAGATGGACTAGTTATTAAAATAACCGATAGGATTAAAACGTCGGGCAATAATCGAATACAACCAGTTTTACATATACCTTTTTTCACCGATAGACCCGCATTGTGTGTTGCGAACACTTTAATATCATATTTGAGAAAAACAAAAGAATTAAGAGACAAAAAGGAGGAGTTCTTGTTCATAGCTACTAAGAAACCTCATTGCAAAGCTGGTGCCCAGACTATAAGTCGATGGATAAGAAAAACTCTCAAGGATAGTGGGATAAATATTACAGAATTCACATCGCATAGTACTCGACACGCCTCTACTTCGGCAGCAAAAAGAAGTGGTATAAGTTTAGACCTAATAAGATCCACGGCTGGTTGGTCCCAAAAATCAAATGTATTCGCTAATTTTTATAACCGTCCTTTGAAGGACAATAATGCATTTGCTAGGGCTATCTTAAAAATGTGAATTTTAACTTTGTTACATGTTTTTTGTTTTTTGAGATTCAACGGTTATTATGTAAGGATGAGCCATTGAAAAATTGTTCAGATTCATTTGTTCTATGTTCGCTCATTTATAGAGCATGTTTTTTGTAGTTGTTCAAAAAGGCAATGATTGAATAAAATAATGAAAAGGATATTGGATGATTCATATCACAACTGTCTTTAAACATCTACATAGTTATATCATTGAGGACAAGGCGTGAATATAATTATAAGATCAAACGAACTTACCTAAGTGAAGTTCGATCTTAATTATATGAAACGCCTTGTCCAAGATGATCATTCCCACCCTATTCCTACCTGCTATCGATATGGCTCTTGGCCCGATCATCAACAGTTGCGATTGGGCTTTGAAGAGAATGAAGGCGGCTACACAACGGTGGCTGTGGTGTGCCATGTAGCAGTGGGGGAGATAGGGGTATTTTTTCTGTGAGCTTCAAAAATTGTGGTAACTTTCTAGGGGAAATTGGGGTACTACATAGTTATATCATCTCGGACAAGGCGTTTCATATAATTAAGATCGAACTTCACTTAGGTAAGTTCGTTTGATCTTATAATATTATTGAACCATCTTTCAAACCAAAACAATTATCCAGTTTCTTTGATCTCAACAGGCTTTTGTTTGCCTTCATTGCTTCTTGAATTCGTTTAACAATTTGAGAAATGGGATTGTCTGGTTTTCTAGTATATTTTAAAAAAAATTGCATAAAATTTTCAAATTGGAAAGCACTAAATGAGTCTAAACTACCGAATATTTTTACATCTTTTGTAATATGGAGTAAATTATGAATATTGTGAGATACAAAATGTCTACCATAAATTATCATGAAAGTTTTCACAAAATACATCAATAGAGAGTGTGCATAATCAATTTGAGTAATAGTAGACTTGGAATTTGCCAATATGGATACTGCAATGTGTAAGGACAAGAAAGTTAACATGATTATCATTTGGCAAGTGATCTTTGAGAACCACAACACCAGTATAGAATAGAAACTGGCGAAATTCTGTGGCTTTCCACCTATTACATTCATTCAGAGTTCTGGGCATTCTACAAAATTCTGAAGGAATATTTCCATACTGAAATATCAATGAATCTGATAGTTTTCAACTTGATGAGAAGAAAGCTTATGTGGTGGAGGGCCTCCACACCATAATCCTACCAGAAGTTTCTTCATCACGCCTAAACAAATAAGATGCATATAATCAAGTGGAAACCCTGTTATCATGCCAAAGTCAGGAATTTCCTCTAATATACTAATGCCTTTGTGGTGTTCTTCATTTCTTTTTATTATGAAATCATGGTCTGTTCGTTCCCTGTTATTAATTTCAGGAAAACACATTTTGTTTTCAATCAATTCCCCCTCCTGTTCACATTTTGTACAAGAGAATGAGCCAGTATGGTATTTAATACATTTGATAGATGCTTTGGCAGGGGCATCGCATATGAATCCTTTGAGTTTCACACAGTATTTTACATCATTCATAAAAAACCCAAAATTAATAAGCTGCCCAGTGAAACAGAGTTTATCCCTGGGAAGTCGCGAATAATTAACAACAGGAATACAACTTCCAATGCGATGTTCAAAAAACTGTACCCAGTAATTCCTGGCGACTTTCGAATGTCCGCGACACTGAAGATCCCACGTAAATCCATGAAACGTTGCAACAAACCATTTTTTCGAAGTTCAACGGAATTTAAAAAAATATCCACTTTGTGAGTTCCTGTATCTTACTGAAACTAACATTATTTTGCATTACACTTCCATGTTCAACGGAATTTCTTCGTATGACATTTTTGCGAGTTCACTCAAGGAATGCTATGGGAAGTTACAGTGATAACATATTATATCATTTCAAATTTATGTCTGCATTATAAAATTCCATAGAAATTCCAAATTGATATACTTTTCACTCTTGTGGTTCTTTTTGAGTACCAGCTTTGATCATTGATGCACTTTTAATTGTTGTAAAACATATATTTTTTATAAGAACAACACTCTCACAAAAACAAAATCAAAAATACAAATAAAACAAATATTATTCTGTAACAAATAAACAACAAATTCTTATAAAAAAAAATAAATTCTTATACTGTGTCGCACATACATAATCCGCACCATATGAATGTTTCATTTGATAATGGATATACAGGGTGTTCCATAATATATGCGCAGGACTCCAGGATGTGATAGCTCGTCCAAAAATATGAAAAAAGTTTCAACTTACCCTATAAAAAGCACCATGTTCGATGAGATACAGGGTGTTGAAATTTAAAAAAAAAATCGTTTTTTGCGAATATCTCTGGAACCATTTATCACACAGAAATAGTTATTTATGTAACAAGTGTGTAAAGTGGCTTTTTTTTGACGAATGTGAATATTGTCAAAAAAAGCCTTTACACACGAATTACATACAATATTTGTTCTACTACGGTACATAATTCTTCATTGAGATTATAAATACAGAATTCACTCAACACACTATGGTAATGAATGTACATTTTAAGAACATAAATTTATTTGACGATTAAATATATATCACTCCAAAAAGTTCGTAAAGTACGTACTTTACGCACGGTAGTAGAAAAACAGTTTTTGTAAGCATTTTCTACTCATAATAAGATATGTTTTGCTAACAAAAGCCGTTTTTTATGCTATAAACGGTTCTAGAGATATTCGCAAAAAACTATATTTTTTTTTCAATTTCAACACCCTGTATCTCGAAAATGGTGCATTTCAGAGGGTAAGTTGGTAGAAACTTTTTTCATATTTTCGATGGACGAGCTATCACATCCTGAAGTCCTGCGCATATATTATGAAACACCCTGTATATGTAACTGAATTTTTAGACTTTGCAGTAAGTTTTTGTTTGAGAACTGAGTGTGGATGGAAATTCAGAAATTTTTATGGATTCTAGACCCACATTAAATATTTCCAGAAAACAATTGTATGGACCTGTAGCTTGAAAAAAAAAGAATAATTCTCTTAATGGAGTTGAATCCAAAAAAGTTTTACATCAAATTGGAAAAACTAGAACTTTGCATCAAGAAAGAGAAATTTCTGGAGTTCAGTTTATTCTTTCTTCGGCAGTAAAGACCAATAAAATTATTTTCTGACCCAAATATATTGCATGTAGGTCTCGCATCCATCAAAATAACGGCGTTCGAGTTTTGTCAATCGGCAGAGAGGAAGTTGAGAAAAATTCGAAAAAACAAAATTGAAAACTGAACAACTCATTTTTTAAAATTTCAAATTTGACACGTTCCGCGTTACATATGGCAGCTAAACTTGGGCTCAGTTGCATAAATTTTTCAAGCAAAAAATAATAAACTAACTGAAAAGTCAAATTTCAGTATGTTATATCCAATATTGAGGAAAACTTCCAGATGGTGTGGACTTCATGTGTGCCATGCACTGTATCTTTCATAGAAAAACAAATCATTTAATGCAAATAAAAATCGAAAAATCAATTTTTCGACTTATTTTTTTCCTCCCTCTCTTTCCTCTGTTTAGCATGTCGCAGCCAATCTCTTACATGCATTTCGAATTCCTTTTTTGTGATTTGGAAGGTCTTCTGAACAGCCTCTGAAAAAAAAACATATAATAAATAATAATGTAGAATGAAAATAACTTAACGCAATTGAACTATTTTATTATCTTGATAGAATCAATATCCCTTAACACCCAGCATGGTGAACAAATAACAAATCACTAGTCTAAATGTTTGATCTTTTAGAAAATCGACAAAATTTACCAAAAAAAAACACGGTCTATGCGCCATATTTATAAAACAGTTCAATTCAAAAGATTAGCCTCGAATCCACAAAAAAGGAAATATAATTATTTCCAACTATAGCTAGGTCTAATAAAGTGTACTATTTTCTCAAAAATATTTGAATATTACTTTCATGAACTTCTGCCATATTCAATAAATGTAAACGAGTTGCATGGTTTCAGACTCGAAAAGTTGACACAATCTGGAGTGCACAGTAAGTCAAATAACGCAGCTGATGGATGCTGGCTAGTGCCCTGTTGGGATACTTTGTGATCTAAGGCTGGTCCAATCCAGTTTGGGCAAGGGACGGCTATAGTGCTGTAGCGCTCTGGGGCTTGTTACTGATTTTTCATAATAACCTACAGAGCAACCAGCAGGGAGATTCTATTTCACGAATCGTGTCGAATCGGCCATATTTATTCGATAATTGGTATTCAATTTCTCGAATGAATCGTGTAAACTCGATTCGATTCCTCGATAGCTCAAGAGGAGTCGAGTTGATGCGTTTGTCAATCTATCTTTATCTATCATCGAATGTTTCTTTTCATCTTCATCTCAATTTGAGGTTAGATCATCTTGTTTATGTGAACGCACAGCTAAGTGTGTATGTATGTATACAGTAGTAAATACACACAAATAAAAAACCAAATGGCCATGTCTTTCAAACTGAAAGATGCCCATTGGGAAATATTGATATCATTTCTTGAAGAGCATAGTAATATGGCCACAGGGCGATTTTCAGGGCCTAATGGTCGTGAAAGTAATAAAAAGTTATGGGCCCAACTGAGTCAACAATTGAATTCGTTAGGGCTTGGCGAGCGGACTCCCGAAAAATGGCAAAAGGTGAAAACTAGCTTGTAGATTTGATATAACAATATCCAATAACTTTTATTTTCAGACTCGGACTGACTTCAAATACTTGCTTAAAAAGAGAGCCAGTATAATACAAACAGATTTATCAAAAACAGGAGGCGGCCCTTCGGAGACCTCACCACTGAGCTCTTTTGAAAAAAGAGCTTTACTGATTATGGGAGACAGTTTTTACAAGGGAACAGGATGTCCTGAGGTGGCAGTGGTTAGGTTATTGATATCAAGTTTGTAGGAACATTTTCTAGATTTCTTTTTGTATCTTAGATAAGTAATAATGCACCTAGGATGGAGGAAGTTGGTCGTCAGCCACTTGACCAACCATCATCCTCAAGTTCAGTACCAACTTTACGCCCAGAAGCCCATTTAGAACATGACTATTCGTTTCAACCACCTCCTAAAAAAAGAAAAGGAATTATAGATGAAGCATATGAAGAAACAATATCTGTCCTAAAAGAAATTCGAAACGTGGTAGATAGCAGACTGGAACAAATTTCTAACAGCATTGACAAGCTGGCAGAAGTTCTTAAATCAAAATAGTAATTGGTTTCTTGCCAGCCACCCAGTATTATGAAAATATTTTATTTATTTTAGTTGGAGAAAGCCATATTTATTTTGTTTGTATCTTGAATATGTTACAATTTTTTTTTTATTTTTGTTATGTTTACTTCAGTTTTTATAATAAAGAATGAAACTGACTTATTTGGAGTATAAAAAAATCCTGTTTTATTTTTTCAAAACAACCTGATGATGCATTCATAAGAACAAAAATTAAATTATGAGTAAGCACACCTAATAAATTTCATAAATTGCCTATCTGAAATATCTATTAATTATGTTATCTCTCATTTGAATTCCTTGTTGATGACCAGGAATATTCTGGGGCAATACTGGATCTGGAAAGTCATCTATTAAAATTTCTTGAAAGGGGATATTTTCCTCAATGCACAAATTATGCAATACTGCACAAACCCGTACAACATCACACATAAATCTGGGATTATAGCGTGCAGATCTCTCCCTCAAAAGGCATCTAAAGCGCATCTTCAATAGTCCTATGCACCTTTCAACACAGTTTCTTGCAGCTATGTGAGCAGGACCTTCATCAGTTGGATTAGCAAATGGGGTCATTAAGTATGGTTGCAAAGGATATCCACTGTCCCCCAAGAGCCAACATGCTTCTTGATTTTGATGTAAAGTTCTCATAAACTCATGTGCCTGGGAAACACGCCAAATGTAGGAATCATGTGTTGAACCTCCAAAGTTTGAAAATAAACTTCGGATTCTCAGTTTGTGGTCACAAATTATTTGTGTGTTGATGGAATGAAAGCCTTTCCTATTGATATAATTATGTTCTTCTACCTTAGGCTTCAAGATAGCTATGTGTGTTCCATCAACAACACCAATGACCTCAGGAAACCCCCACCGATTCATGAACTCTATTTTTATATCATTCCTTTGTTGTACTGTATTTGGTAGGAATATATTTTCATCAATTAAATTAAGGAGTCCGTTTGTCACAGCATAAATACATCTATGGATGCTACTTTGGCTCAGCCCACAATTATATTCCTCACCAACACATCTTTGGTGAGATCCAGTGGCATAAAATCGCAATGCACAAAATACTTTTATTTCTGTAGTTATTCCCTTCCTGCTGGACCTCTCAACCAAGTGGGGCGTTAATGATAGAATCAGTTGACGAACTAATCTCTTGTTTAGTCTGAACAATTCGATAAATCTTTTTTCTGGTAATGAAAAAGGATTACTCGAGTGTCTCAACTCTTGTCGTCGACGAATTAGTGTCAAATTTCTTTGCCGGTCTTCGTTTAGAACAATGCGATCCCTAACAATCGGTAACATTTCAATTTAGTTGCACAAATGTATGTCTATAAACAAGAAAACAACAATTATTGATATTATTTACTAATATTTATTTATCATAATTATCAACATAACCTCTAATACTGCTACGAGTACTACGGAAAACTACGGATTCTATCAAAAACCCGACGATTTCCGAAATGATATTCGATCGTGAAATGGAATGAGAAAGAAATTTCATATCGAGTTTATCATCGTATCGTACGATAATCGACGGTCGTGAAATAGAATCTCCCTGCTAGTCTTTTAGTGTATTCGATCAATAGACATCAACACCAACCAGGATTGGTATCTAGCTGCCAACAGTAGCCTATTCAATAAATCCAGACAGAAAAATTTATAAATTCAAAAAGCGAGCGCCGATGCCACTAACCCACCAATGCGTGCGAACCTGCGCGAGTGAACGATTGGTTAAATATTATATTACGATTAAGAGTTACGAGAAGTGAATAAAACATAGTTACCAAATAAATGTTTGGTTATAAGTAACCCCTGAAGGGGATAATTGTGTTTAGCCCCTGTCCAACTACATAGTTCGGCTAGCTCATTTGTAAGCAGGTGCTTCAGGATTCGATATGTAAAATCCCTTCCGGAATTCCCTCCAATTTTACCAACGTGTGCAATCTGGAAATGAATCGAGTAAGAAAGTGAATTGAAAGATTATATGCATTTTCTGAAATAGTGGATGAACAAGTACGTATGTGCTATATATGGTACACTTCACTATTAGGTAAAGTAAGAGTCGATGCATGGGAATCTCCAAAATAGTAATACCTGAATTCATACTCGTTCGCGGAAAGAAACTTCGGCAAGTCGTCACATGACTCTGGTCGTAAAAAGCGTATCTGGGCGGTTCAATTCAGGTGGCGACTAGCCGGCGTTTCTCTCGGAGAACGACTGTAAGAGGTATTGAAATAGACTGAGAAAAATCGCAGCAAATCCTTCTTATTTCAGGAAATTACAGGAAATAAAATATCGATTTTAGTTTTTGACTTATACTTGGTTAATTCTGATCAATATAGAACATATTTGTTAAAACATATGGAGTTATCAGTAAAGATGAGATTTTTTGAAAAATTCAGATGTATTTCAGTACTTTTATCATTTCGATCATTCCAAATTCCCATATAGCACATGTACGTCCAGTGAATGTCCAACGGATGTACAACATGGACATAGTGGACGTCCATTGAACGTTCAGTCATGTACATTGGAACGTCCAGAAAACGTCCACAGCTCACTGGATTTAACATCTTATGGACGTACATTCAGGATGTTCGATGGACGTACATTCAGGATGTCTGATGGACGTACATTCAGGATGTCTAATGGACGTACATTCAGGATGTTCAATGGACGTACATTGAGGATGTTCAATGGACGTACATTCAGGATGTCTAATGGACATACACTCAGGATGTACAGTGGACGTACATTCAGGATGTTCAATGAACGTACATTCAGGATGTCCAATGGACGTAAATTGAAAGCAGTCAGTGGATGTCCATTAGAGACGTCCAATGGACGTACGGATGTTCAATGGACATGAACTGAAAGCAGTCAATGAATATCCAAACAAAGAATCCATACTCATATAAAATATTATTTATTGAAAAAATATCTGTAAGGTACAATGTAATATCATTCAATATAGATACAACATATGCTTGGAATTTATTGCATGAATTTCATCATTCTCTGTAATAGGTTTTCCAGCATAATTTAGCGGCTAAATATCTTTCGACTCACGACATTCATGAAAGATTCGAGTAATCAAAACATACTATCTGAAAAAGCATTATTTCAAAAAACTGACAAGATACAGTTATCCTGATTTTTTGAGGACAAAATTCGATAAAAATGAAACTGAAAAAGTAGAGCTATAATATTACCTATATATGAAGTATAATTGGATACTCACCACAGTTCAGTTCAAATTCTATATAAACGTCCATACAGTGACTATCTGAACCCCAAAGATTACTCCTCTTCAGAACCACATTATGAATATATATTATATATTCAATACATATAGTCCATATATGGACATCCATTGGACGTAACCCGATTGGACGTTGAACTTCCGGATGACCCAGCCATTATAAGTCTCTTGTATATTGTATGACTTCTGAATATAGGCAGAGGCTGGATATTTCCCTGATTTGATTTCTCAAACATAGTAGAGATGATATCGTGCTTTTCTCACTATATTTTTATAAAAATTATGGATTTAAATTTTCTCCAGTCACCTCGCTTCTTCTTTCTGTTAAAAGAGACAAACAAAGTATTACTCATAGTATTCTGTAGTCGAGGATTAGTGTATAAATCAACTGTCTAAGTCCTATATTCAGCAATTCATCTCAACTTCAACTAGTGCTATACCAATTTAAAGCTCTATTTCTGATATCATATGAAATCCAAGTCGTCCTTTCCGAACAAATCACAAGCTCATAGGTTACCCACAGAATATCATGAAATACCTATTCCGCATTACCTACAACGCTTCAAACCATTATCAGAGCACATTTATCATGTGAAATAAATAGTTATATGAAAAGGAATATCGGAACATATGCTACGTACCATCATATACATGCTCTGGATGATTCAGTTCCAACTAGTCTGAATCCTAAATGTCATCACAAACACGTATAAAACACACAAAATGGCGTAACCTTCTTTTCTGCCGTCTACATAATATGTTCACTTTGGAGCTGGACTCGATCGATATCCTCCGTTGCCCCACTTCATGTTCCGATCAGAGCGCCATCTCGCATCCCCTCTACCGTGCGTCCAGCTTTCAACATACAAAGGATGTACAAAAACGTACCATTTGTAAACGTACAAACTGGATCCAATAATGTACGTCACTTGGACGTCCTGAAACTTCTTACTGTGGAAGTTTCACAATATCTAATATTGAACTTCTAATGGACATTCAAAAGACGTACAACATTGAACGTACAATGAATATCCAGAATCGTACATTCATTGAACGTACATAGATGTTCAATTTGTGAACACACAATTCAGATCACTACCGTACTCTTCTAGGTCGGTCCAGAACTGCCATGATATGGATGATGTTTCATAATATCGAAAATTGTACATCCACTTGACAATCATTGGACGCACGAAACTGAACGTACAATAAATATCCAGGATCGTTCATCCACTGAACGTGCATTCATGTCCATTTTGTCAACGTACAAACTGGATCCGGTCATGTACATCCATCAGACGTACCATTTTGAACTTAAAAAATATATCCGGAATCGTACATTCATTGATCGTACATAGACGTTCGAATCGTAAACGTACAATTTAGATCCGATTTCGTTCATTTCTTGGACGTTCTGAAACCTAGGAATATGGATGTTTTGGTGAAGTCGAATATCTTACTCCCAATGGACATCCATCAGGCGTACAGTACTGGACGTTACATAATATATCCCTAATTGTACATCCATTGAACGTCCATGTTAGGTTCATGGACCTTTGGACATTATTTGGACCTAAACTGGACGTCCACTGGACGTCGTGTGCTATATGGGTTATTGTGATGAAGAGAGCAGTGAAATATATTTTCAAGATGAAAAATGTCCTGAAACATACCTTCAGATTTTTTGAAATTTCCAATCTTTACTGATTCAGGT